ACCGAATTAATAATTGGGTTCCAATACATAACCATAAGTCCATGCTTGGGGTAAAAGACTGCTTTACCCCAATCTTGGCTTGATCGAAGTCCAAGGCCCAATCCAAAGGCCCAATAGTCAACTATGAGTCAAAGCCCAACATATGGCCCAATTTTCTAAATTGGGCCCAAACCTTACATGGTCTCACTCTAAGGCCCCACCATTTATTCCAGTCCAACATTTGACATTCTAATGGCCCAATATCATATAATCATTAAGGCCCAAACTATGGCCCATCTATGGCCCAATTTTCCAAATTGGGCCCAAACCCTCACATATGGGCCTTACCCTAGAGCCCATCTAAATAATCTAGTCCATATGATTATTCATATATAGCCCATTAATAACCCAATAATCAAGGCCCAATAGAAAGGCCCAACAATAAACCCAAGTGAAATTAGGGTTTCACATAAAATGACGATTAGGGTTATGTTTTTCTCACTTAACCCATTAAGGACTTAATCCACTAAGTCCATCACTCTTCTAAATAAATCATATAGTGTGATTGGGACTAATACACAATTCCATTTCAATGGCCCAAATGTGGGTCCCGATAAGTCCAAGCCCATAAATCCTATATTAGGGTTTTCTAAACCCCAATTAGGGTTTCCAACCCCATCTTAGCCCAATAGGCCCAATAGCTAGGTCTTTTGATCAATTAGGGTTCGTTAGGCCCATTAGTTACATGTTTGGGCTTTTAGGTCAATTAGGGCTTTATTGGGCCCACTAGGGTTTATTAGGCCCATTAGGGTTTTAGTCCCTTGTCCAAACATTCCAAACGAGTCACCATACAAACGAGGCACACCGCCACCAGACACGGTGGTCGGTGGTGGTTAGGGTTTCTTTTTCATTATTCTTCTTTGTAGTTACATTTTACAATTCTAAACCCCAATAATCACACACACACTAATACAAACACACAAACACAGCCACCTAATGGTGGTCGGTGGTGGCGTATGGCGGCAGCCACCACCTCACGGTGGTGGTGGTGGTGGCTGTTCTTCGAGAATTCTGGCCTACAAACTACACCCAACAAACACTACAACAAAACACATGCACATAACATCAGAACACGCATATCCATCGCCGGAAACAAACCAGTCTCGGCCACCCCTACGGCGGCGTGAAGCAGTCAAACGGAAAAGCAGCTACGCAACACTCATCGGAACCATTGCAGCGTCGCAGCACCAGACAGAAATGGAGAAGGACAAGAAGAATACGGTAGGGAGGTGGTCGTCTGACATCCGAACATCAGCAACGAGTAGGCTATCTCGAACCTCCACTGCCCATAACTGGACATCGACTTCGCAACTCACACTTCGTCGTTCACAGTGCAAAACCCGATCTCAGTGGTTCTTGTCGTTCCTGGTGTCGCCGGCAACAAATGGCGACCTGGTCGGATCGGAAAAACGAGAATAAGATAGGTGGTGCTTCAATGGCGATTTGGTGCAGCTTAACTCTCATTTCCAGCCGATCTTCTATGTTGCCGGTGACAAGGCTACTCGATGGTGCTAGGTGGTCGGTGAACGAATGAGGTGAACGGTGGCGACGACTAGAGGAGGGAGGCGTAAGGGTGGGGGGTGACGGCTGCACATGGTCCCTAGGGTTTCTGCGTGTAATCGGTTTTATATACCCCGTACCTTTCAAACTTCCTCCCATGTTTACACAAACAGTCCCTCCTTCTCCATTTTCTTTCAAAACAAGGCCAATATTTACCATTTAAACCCTGCCCCTTGAATTCATTTACAAAATAAGAGCGGGTTTTACTAAACAGCCCCCATTTTCTAAAATCTTTACAAAACTAATCCACAATTTACCTTTTTAAACTCCCAAATCTCAAATATGACATATTCAACTTTCCCCTCTCTTTTTCTTCCAAATTAAGTCCCAATAATTACCACGGAGCCCCTGCCTTCATAAATATTTACAAAATAAGTCTCAAATTTATACTTTAACCCACGAATAATCCAAATAATAACTTGTGGCTCCCTAAACCAACACCAGGCTATATAATTATTGATTTTAGGGCTACGATTCATTCGTTTATTTATTTATTTATTTATTTATTTAATAAACGGGGTGTTACATAATTAGCTTATTCGCAGACTCTAACTTCATAAGTAATTCCCTCTACTGTTGCTGAGATTACCTCATCAATCTTTGTCTTGATAGAAGTGATTGATGGGTTTTACATGCAATAACACAGATAAATCTGTATACACTTAAGGGTACATGCAACCTATTAGATCTAGTCATAACACTATTGAAGTAACATTATATTGTACAACAAGAACCCTATAACCCTAGGTAATTTTGAAATTCATAGAGGATCACACACCTTTTGATTGTTGTAGTAAACAATCAAACAATCCTTCTTGAAAACCTCTTTGAAGCTAGCACCAGAAATCTCGTGCCTCTGATGGTTCACACCCAAACCCTAGCAACTAGGAAAAACTTTTAGGAGAGAGGATGAGAGGTGAACTTCGTCTATAAACATGACTTTTCCCTATTGTTCACCTATTTTTTAATGATTGTGATGACCAAGCACACAATGGCAATCCTTCAACAGTTAACCATATCATTTATTCTTTAAGGACAAAGGTTTTATCTAGTGGCCTGAGTTATGAAAATAAGTGACCTTTTACTTCATGTTTAAGAAACTTTTGACAAGCTTTCGGAGATCGAAATTCCATCCATAAACAGAGACGACCAACGTAGGTAATATGAATGTCCATAAATCCTTCCTTTGGACACAAAATATTAAGATTGTTGATTAGGCTCGTTTGACGCACACATGCTAATATGATGTTGGAAGAATCCAGAATGACAAACATATATTTCGTTACAAGAGAAATCAACTTCCTTTTCTTCAAAATTGTTTTCCCTATTCCATTAGTTTGGTACCACTTGCATTCCCATTAATGGCACCGGTGTAAGATTTCCCATTGGTTGCATTCTTTTCTCTTGAATACACTTCCTTATTTATAGTATGTTTTGCTAATCTAGAAGGCATATTGGTGTTTATGATCGTTTCCATTCGCTCAAACCTTGCCAACATAGGAAATTGATGGAAATTACCTATTCAAATTCTGTTTAAATCTTCCAATAGCATCTTTTGATCGTTGATTCTTAAGAAGCGAACAAAAGAGAAAAGTGAAACGTCGTCCAATCTTTGAGAGCTTTCGAGCTATATACACATCTTCCACGAGGCCATGTCGATCACATAATTGTCATAAGTCCTTCACAATCATAGATTATGGAAAATTGGTCACATATATTGTAACTGAGACATCACCAAGATTCTTAAAATTAGGGTTTATTCCATCCCTCCGATTTTGATTTTTCCTGATTTTTCATTGCTAACTATTAATTCCGTTTTCATTTGTCATCCTTTTGCATGAATGAGCCTTTCAAATAAGCGAAACCCAATACACTTCCTTATTTATAGTGTGTTTTGCTAATCTAGAAGGCATATTGGTGTTTATGATCATTTCCTTTCGCTCGAACCCTTCCAACATAGCAAATAGATGGAAATTACCTATCCAAATCCTGTTTAAATCTTCCAATAGCTTTTGTTTGTCGTTGATTCTTAAGAAGCGAACAAACGTGAAACATCGTCCAATCTTTGAGAGCTTTCGAGCTATATACACATCTGCCACGAGACCATGTCGATCACATATATTCCGTAAGTCCTTCACAATCATAGATTCTGGAAAATTGGTCACATATATTGTAACCGGGACATCACCAAGATTCATAAAATTAGCGTTTATTCCCTTGCCATCATTTATGTTGTTTACCGTTCCATTACAATGATTTTGGTTTCCATCCCTCCGATTTTGATTTTTCCTGATTTTCCGTGGCCAATCATTATTGTTGTTTTCATTTGTCATCCTTTTACATGAATGAGCCTTTCAAATCAGCGAAACCGAATATTCCTCAAGAGTCGACGATAAAAAACAAAGCAGGTCCCACCCCAAACCCGTCGGAGATAGTCAAAAGGTCGAAGTCAATGCTGCTCTCAACATGCATCGACGATTAGGGATAAAGCGTCGCTGCAAAACCCACAATATGTCAGGTTTTTGAACGTTGTAACTTTTATTTGTTATATTAGTGTTTGATAAAAGTACTTTGAAATTTTTTAAATATGTAAAATTATATAAAATGACAATTGCTTAAAAAAGATAAATATGTAAATATATTTTTATTGACCATTTGAAAATTAATAAAGAAGTCCAACATTATTTTTAAATGCTATATGAAATTTATATTTAAAACTTTAATTTAAATTAAAAGTTAGAACTCTGTACTTACACACAAAGTTTTTTGTTTAAATCCAAATTTTTGTTAAAAGTTAAAGCCTAGAAGTTCCCTAAAGCCCGTTGCCAAACACCCTTATATGTATATAAAGACAATAACATAAGAAAACTCATTTGGTTTGAAGTTATTACGAATCCTAATTATTTCTCGAATGTTTGCAATTGTTGTTCGTTGTCGAGAAATTCTTATTGTCATATTGTGAGTTGGTGGTGTTTATACAACGAACAATGAAGACCATTTTTTTCATAAGAAATTTTTTTTCATGTATATATTTTTGGTCATTAGACCAAAATATTATAAGGTAATAAAATAAAATAGATGCGATGTTATTTTGTGTAATCATCCATTCATGCCCAAGATAAGATCCAATGCTTTTTAAAGAGAAGAAATATGTTATTTTATGTAATCATCCATTCATGTCGAAGATAAGATCAAAAGGTCCAATGCTTTTTAAAGAGAAGAAAGTGAAAAGGTGTTTTTTTTTATAAACCGTAAATAACTTATGAACCTCAACCCCTCCCACGTCCCTTACATAGTCCACTTGGCTCCCTCACGTTTATGTATTCCACGTCTCCATTTCTCTCACTCCATCTCTAATCGGTTACCAACAAATTCTCTCATCTTCTCCATGCAATAACACAATGACTCAATCCCACATTGCCAAAAAATGGAGCAGAAAAGGGAAAGTTTTACGAGCAATCATTCACCGCAAACTGTTTTCTGCAGATGAGATTGACCAAAATAAGGTTCACAACAAAGGCGATCATGAGTGCATTGAAGAAGATGAAGGAACGCAGTCGTTTGTGGTGGGGTTTCTGCCTTCACTGGTTAGGGTTCCAAGTAGAGGATTGAAGGGGTTACAGAAGCTTGGTAGGGTGGTGTCAATGCGTAAGGATGAAGGACAAGAACGAGAAGATGGAAGGGTGGAATTGTGCAAGATGAGGATAATAATGGGGAAGAGATGCAGACCGTTAAATGTGTCGGGTGCTCTTCATTACGATGAAGATGGTATTTTGGTGCCAGAAGACTTCCTTTCTCCATCTCATTAATAACTTGTATACTTCTTTTTCTAGCATAAGTTACAAGTTTCTTTATCCTTTTCAATTTTGTTGCCTTACTTTTTATGTTTGAGGATTACTTTTCTTATCATAATGATATCATGATTCATGCATGAAACCAAATTGAACCTCTGGTTTTTATGTTTGTATACATCCGATATGGCATGAGGTGTGAAATCTCTAGGTTTGAGTTTTATGGTATTTGTAGGGTCTGTATATGGCCACAGTAGAAGTAGCCTGTGTATTACATATGATCATACTTGAAACACCATGGTAATACTAGATCTTGCCTATATGAAATTCTGTAGCAAGCAACTATAGAACCCTTGCTAGGACTAAGCATAAGAGGGAGACTAAAACCTTAATATAAGAGCATCCATAGTTACTTCATTTGGTGACTATTTTACATAAAAAGTTATATATCTTCATTAAATTCATGCATTGTTACAAATCATTCCTAAAACTTTTAACTTTTATATCTAAAAGAGCCCACCATTGGCGATATATCTCTAAGATAACGGCGGTTTAAAATTGAAAATGGTTAAATCTGTATGATTAGTGACAAATTCGTCAATATATGACCAATTGTTTCAACAGTTAGGTTGAACGTGATATAAAATGGAATCCAACAATAATTGTTTTCATTGGAAAGTAGGATAGGGGTGTGTTGGTAAAACTAAACTAACTACAAAACTAGTTGATAACGAGTATCACTAGTACAAAAATCGACATTGGCCCACCAAAAAAGTATGACCATATATTTTTAGCCACACATTACTTTTTCAGCTAAAGTGTGACGAAAGGTCCTATCTTTTTAGGTATCATAAGACCATATCAAAATTTAATGGTCGTAGCAACTCGAAACACTAGTAAAAAACGGGCCTTGAAAACGCAAAAAATCCGCCATTATAGACATTTTATGTCGATTTTTTTTTCAATGTGTAAGGAATAGTCGCGTCATTGATGATAAATTATGTTGTCGTTTAATTGTGGTGGGTATAACCCATGAAAATCTGTTGTTCCCGTCATTATATGATATAGAGTTTTTGGATATGTATCTATCTTATTTTAATAACCGCCATTAATAATACATTTATAGTGATGTGTTTTTTCCCTATACAGTGATAAATGCTTATTTATATACTACAAAAAATAGAGGTATTACTGGCGACAAATGTTGTCGCTAAAGACCCAACTGGTCGCCACTAAAGGTATTACCGACGACATGTTGCTGCTATTACGTCGCGTTAATATTCCGTCGCTAAAGCACTTTTGTTGCCGGTATTACGCCGCTAATAACCTTGTCGCCGGTATTGGTGGTATCAGTATTAACTATCATCGGCACAATGTCTGTCGCCAGCATTGCACGTCGCCGGCGCTATATGTGGCCGGTAATTAGTAGTGTCGCAAGTAATTCCCTTATTTATTTATTTTAATTTTAAATAATTCTGCTAAAGTATTTAATAAAAATCTATAGATTTCAGTAATATAATTGTATAAAATACATAATACATAATCCACATTGTCAACATAAACTATTAATTAATAAAAATTCATTACATACTTACTAAAAATCCGACCATAAAATATTTAGTCATTAACAAACATTCAACATATTAAACATACACTAACTAATAATCATTGTCGTTTTCTGTCACACCCCCGGCCGCCGACGAAAACGTCGGGTGCGCGATGTAAATCAGTAATCATAGTTATTGAACATACATTGAACAGTAAAAAATATAATCTTTTATTATTACCGAAATAGAAATTACATTGATAATGATTAATGCTACATCGTGACACACGCCTAACAATCCGACGTTTATAATGATATAATATAAATAACAGAGAGTCTTCTGAGCGAACACTTCCGACCTCCTAAATAACCTGAGAATACATGCATTAAGATACGCCAACAAAATTGTTGGTGAGTTCTATAGGTTTTGACACAAAATATTTCTATATCCAAAAGTGTTTTATAAAATTTGGTTGGTTGACCAGCTTTTATAAATACTTACTTTTCTATCAAAAGTATAAAATAAGTGAGTTATAAAAGTGTATTTGGTCTCATTTGGAAACATCATGCGTTCAAATCCAAAATTTCAAAATTTTGGCAAAATTAATATAAGTAAGTCAAACTTATATCAAAAATGCATTTTTATTTAAAGATTTTGAATACCAAGTTATATAAAAATAAGGTATATTACCCTTTGTGAAAACATAAAATAACCAATTTTACTCTTGAAGTCTCGTACAAGAAATGATATAGTTTATGTAGCATCCGGACTCCCATGTATATTATTTATATATTTTATTCTTGGGGTTTATTGAGTAACTCGGCGAGTTGGTGCCTCAACTCGTCGAGTAGAGTTGTGATGTGCCACGTGGGATTAATGATCTACTCGACGAGTCTGAGAGTCGACTCGCCGAGTAGACGTTGTGAAATGAAACCCTAAATCCACGGGTTTGGGGCCTATATAAGGACACTTATAGCCTCATTTGCAACTCATAAGCTGCTTAACCTTGCTGTGTGAAACCCTAAACGAGTGTAGTGAGCTAAGAGAGCCTCCATGCTAACCTTGAAGGGTTTTAATGCATCTTGGAGGAGGAAGAGGAGTTGTTCAGCAAGAAACAAGAAGGAGCTATTGGGGTTCAGGCCATTTCGTCCAGAGCTTCAAGAGGAAGGTAAAGAGCTTGAATCTTTTCCCTTTATTTGGGTAGATCTCATGAGTTTGAGAAGTTAGGGTTTTCATCATATTATTTGGGACTTCGAGAATACTAAGTTATCAAGAGGTTTAAACCTCAGATCTGGACCTTGTGAGATCCCTAGAGCCCAAAGGTCCCAACTTTATTCATCCATGAGAGGAGTATGGTGTTTAACAACTTGTGAGAACATGTATTGGTATATTGGAGCAAAACCACCATGCATGAGCGTAAATATCGAAGCTTTACGTGACAATCGAGCCTTAGGGTGGTAGATCTAGTGTTTGGAGTGATAGATCTGCCTTAAATCGTCTGAATGAGAAATCAGATCGAAGGGACTCGCCGAGTCCATGAACTGACTCGACGAGTTGGTTAGGGTTTGTCCCGATGAGCTGGACCATGCGATAGCTCGACGAGTTAGGGGTTAACTCGACGAGCTAGACCTTCACGAGACTTATGAGGAACGAGTGGACTCAACGAGTCGCATTAGTGCACTCGGCGATTCAGGTCAAACTTGGACTGTTGACTCGAGTTGACTTCTGTTGACTTTAGGGGTTGGTTAACATGAGTAATGGAAATCCATAGAGGGGTAAAATGGTCTTTTACCCATTCCAATATTTTGAGAGAAAGAGAAATAGCTATGGTTTATTTAGAGTCGTGAATAGAGTATTAATGAGAGATATTTATCGTATGTGTTAGGCGGAGGCTAGACCAGTGATTCGAGTTCCAGGTTATCCGAGTTCATACAAGGTGAGTCTTCTCACTATACTTTACCTAGAGTGGTATTTATGTGTGACCGGAGGGTCTTATGTGTTTATTGAGTACTGTGATATTACTGCATTATGTCTGTGTGATTTATGTTATGTGTTATTCAGAGTTTACAGAGTTAGGACCGGAGGGTCCATAGAGTTAGGACCAGAGGGTCCATCAGAGTTGTGGGACTGGAGGGTCCCACTGAGACACATTGACCGGAGGGTATTACAGAGTTATAGCCTCGAGTGGCTAATGTGTTGTATGTGGTATTTTGGGGAACTCACTAAGCTTCGTGCTTACCGTGTTATGTGATATGTGTTTCAGGTTCTTCTCAGGATTGCGGGAGGTCGTCGGTTCGATTGTACACACCAGAGAAAGAGTTATGCTTTGAGGATCCTGGATTATTAATCAAACAATTATGGAGTTGTGTTTTATAAATTAAATAAATGGGATTTTGTGAAACGTGTTATGAGAATTATGTGATTTTAAATTGAAAATTTTGTTTGAAAATGTACGGTGTTACAAGTTGGTATCAGAGTCTTGGTTTGAGGGATTCGGATGCACCTTCGGGTATGTCTGGACTCAAACTGAGGATTTGAGAAAATTTTCAAAAGAAATGATTTTTCTAAAATGAGCACGAGTTTCTAAGAGAAAAACGAGAATGGAGCAGTGTGTACAATCAGCCAGAGCCCGAATGGTGATTTCCCAAAATACCCTCACTTATTTGTGTTATAAGTTATTAGTAATGCATGCTAGAAGATAGGCTAGGTATTTCATATTTTCGGGCTAGAGTTGCCTGATTTGTGATGCCTTAGCCTAGGATTTGTTGCTATTTGTGACGTGCTTTGAGTATGTGAGGAGTAAGAGTATCCGAAAGGAATCTTTTAGAGAGAACTTTTAGTAGAGGAGTAATCTTGGAGAGATACCTAGATGAGCAGTTGAGGAGTCTACTGAGGGAGTAGTGAGATACCCGCGAGAGGTAGGGTTGCTTGAGTTCAGTGATACCTTTTGAGTATGAGTAGAGCAAGTGGAGTTGTAGCCTAGAGTGGTTTTGCGTGTTGGTGGAGATTATTCGATGCCCGAATGTTGCTTGCTTTGTGCTTTGTGGAACTCTTGATGATGGGAGTCAGCTACCTAGTGAATATGACGATATTCAGGAGGTAGATGGTTGGCATCATGAGGAGTTCTTCAGCAGCTGATGGCGGAGAAGTGTGAGAACCTAGGAAGAGCCTGGGGAGTGACTTTAGTCATAAGAGTACACTGATAGAGGAGGGTATTCGGTGGATAGCGACCATGTATATCGGGATTGGTGATCGAGGAGGTTGAGCAGCTACTTAGAAAATCTGGGACGATCCGTGTGGAAAGTATGGGTAGATGTGGCAGGTAGTATGGGCCCGTACTACTGAAAGCACAGGACCCGTACTCGAAACAGGGAGAATTCAAGGGGTTATAAGTAGCAGATTGAGAAGTGATAACATGGTTCGAGTACCATGATTCGTAGCAGATTGAGAAGTGATAGCATGGTTCGAGTA